ATTAATTCAATATTCCAATTAAATTTAATTGGATTATTCCAATTGACAACACTGTCTAGCATGTAGCAGAAATTTTGTGTTAATCACGTGATAGTGACGATTTACGTAATGTGCAATCTCCTAAATTGCATATTTATATTTAAAACTTTTCGCATACCTTTTTATCACGAAGAAGTTAAACAACTTAAACAACTTCAACAACAAATGATTACAACCGAAACAGTTCCCTGGAGTGATGATCTCGAGAATCGTCTCTGCCAGCTATACGAGAAGGATGACGTCATGGACATATTTTGGGGCCGAAACATTCTCACCGGTGAAACAACATGGAATGTTTACGTGGTTACCCGCGGTTTTGGCCTACGCGAATGGAAAGAAGAAGTCGCAGGTCAATTAATTCGTTTCATACCAGAAGGAAAAGGGTTTATGGATCCACCACAAAGTTCCCATGATCCTATGCCAACTTGGAAAAAGGTCCCACAAGATTTACAGAAGGCTTTTGATAAAGCTTTAAACAATGAACTGGGACCATCGTTCCGGAAAGTACATTATAATCTGGTTGGTATGAATACTGGGTATAAGCGAACTCAAGGTAAATTTACCGAAAAACCTGCTATTATACTATATGTTCGCCAAAAGGGAATTTTGCGCCATGGTTGTGACATATTCCCGGATAAGATTTGTGAGTATCCGGTAGATGTTGTCGAGGCTTGTGTTGCAACTCCTTATGGTTTTGGTGCGAGTAGATGTATAGATTATCAGGAGAATGTTAAGTTGGGATCGAGTATAGGAGTGTTAGAACCACAGAGAACATCTGGAACTCTCAGTGCTGTCGTTCATGACAAAGATTCAAAACAAATAGGTATCCTCTCATGTGAACATGTATGCAGATCTAGTGAATCGAGTCCTGGAACGGGTGTCATAATCTATCAGCCTTCGCATAAGGATATAAACGAACGGAAACAAACATTCATTGATATGGCGAATGATGATAAAACATACAAAGAAATCTCTGAAATGTACTGTAGTAAAATTGAAGAGAATAGACAGAATTCTTCCCTAGCTTGCTATGAGCGTGGCATGCGAAGAAACTTTCACTCTAAGGCACTTCAAAAGGACTTTGGTGTTGATGTCGCATTTTGTGTTTTCACAAACAAAAATCGTACATTATGCTCAAGTGAATTTTCAGTTTACCCAGAGGTCTTCAAAAAAGCAAAACTTTCCGAAAACACCCGTCTAAATGGCTTTTATAAATATGAAGAGTTTTATAACATCGATGAAATTGAAGTCTTTAAAGTAGGAAGGGAAACAGGTCTTTCTTGCGGAAAATTGGTTCCTGTTATTACTTCTGTTTCCATTGATCTTATAAACAAGAGCATTAAATCCGCAGAAAGTTTTGGTGAAATCCCACAAACCTCAAGTACTAAATTTACAGACAAGGAATATTTCATTGGATACATGAAGTCACCAATTTACGAAAATCGTCAGAAATGTTACCCTACTGTGTGGTTTGACCGGCAATTAATTATTAAATTCGAATTTGGAGGATTTGAATGTGGAGACTC